AGAAATTTACAACACAAAGAGTGAAACTTAATGTAGGCAAATTTTAAAAATATCATTTAGGATATCAGTGGATCCCAGAATGAAATGCAGAACATGACAAAACAATCTAAATACAATACAAATGTATGATACAACCTTATGAAGGAGGTGGTGGAAAAGGTGCTGACCTAAGTAACCTAAGTAAAATGAGTGGAGTCTGTAAGACAAAAGGAACTGCACGTAAGCAATCAACTCTGGTTGGTAAAGTAGTTTCCCACGGGGGTATGGGTTAACAATTCAGATGCTGCTATACACGTATACTGGAAGTGAATGGTTAAAGTCAATGGGTGGCCGATGGTGGGAGTCAGGTTTCTCACTGTTGGAGCAGGGGGTTACAGATAAGGAAGGGGATGAGGCTACAATGACCCATGTAATGAATTAGAGTTGGAGATATCAGTATGAACTTATATTTAGCTTAATATAGATACAGATGGTTACATATAGAAATACATATACACATACACACATATAGAAGGTTTTATGTATATACACACACACACATATATAGATGGTACATACAGAAGTATTTATACACACACAGACACACACACAGGTTAGTATACACATACATATCCTTGCTCTGTCAGCTTATAAGGTCTCAAAGCAAAGACATCACAGTAGCAATGAGTAAACTTAGGGCCCGGATCTTGTTTTCTAAAACCATTCTCCAAGAAAAGAAACCAGGGCTACTTGGAGAAATGGTTAATTCTAGACTGGGCCAGGAAAAATACAAAATGAGCCTAAGGCATCTTGTAGTGCCAAAAGTGATGAAATGTTCCAAAAACAAAACAAAACAAAAGCACATTGATGGGGATATGTCAAAGGGACAGAGGAGCAAACTGAAGGAGCTCCCAATGGCCAAAGATGGAAGACTTTGAGCAAAAGAATAAAGTAGTATTGAATTATAACCCAAAGTATAAAATAGGCATCTGTGAGTCCATACAGATATAAACAAATGGGGGAGAAGTGATAATCCTCCACACTGAATCCCAAATAATTTATGCAGACTCTCTGCCCTCAAGGAGGTGGAACATAACTGCCTGCTCTGTATGTGTGGGCTGCACATAGCGACTTCCTTCCAAAGAAGACAGCACGGGAAGGCAGAAAAAGATAGTAACTTTACAGTGGAGAAACCTGGCAAACACACCTCAGCCAGGTGATCAAGGTCAACATCAACAGTGACAAGTCATGTTATTAGAATGTAATTTGGATGATGTGATGAGAATGACACTTTACCTCCGTGGTCTTTCTCCCAAAAACCATAACCTCAGCCTGACATTGAGAAAAACATCAGACAAATCACAACAGAGGGACATTCTACAAAACACCTAACCAATACTCCTCAAAATGGTTATGGTCAAAAACAAGGAGAGTATGAGAAACTAACACCCAGGGGGAGCCTAAGGAGACATGATGACTAAATGTAATGTGGTATCCTAAAGGGAATCCTGGAACAGAAAAGGACATTAAGTAAAAACTACAGAAATCTGAATAAAGAAAGGACTTTAGTTACTACAGATATATCAATATGGGTTCATTAATTATAACAAATGTACCATACTAATGTAAGATGTTAATAACAGGGGAAACTGGTATAGGGTATATGGTAACGCTGGTAACCCTTGCAATTTTTGTCTAAATCTAAAACTGTTCTAAAAAAATAAAGTTATTTTTTAAAAAAGTAGTGACAATATGAAAAACAAATTTCCTACAAAAAAAGAGATGTAACTGATGAACTATGACTATTAAGCAATAAACAACAAGTTTCATGTGACTTTTTCCAACAAGATAAATTATATATTACCTGGGAATACAATAGAATAAGGAGTATTTGTAAAATTCACAAAGATCCTACTTTTTCCAAAAATTATGCTTATTTGCTGTTTGATTTTTCTAAAAGAACAGAGAGAAATTTGCCCCTCAGTTCCCTAATGAAAGAAGTTGAGATTGGATATTACCATTGAACTGACTCAAATAGGGTAATGAGACCTGTGGTTGGGTCTCCTCGGGTCCCTAGGAGACTTAATAATCAAAAGGGTTAGATACTAAATTAGCTGTCCATAAAAACTGGCTCTGAGTTGCAAATATCCTCCTCTACAGCTTCCATTAGCTAAAATGAAGTCAGTCTCTGCAGCAAGGGGTTGTGGGAAGTTCAGTGAAGAGTCCTACCTCTGCACAGAAGGTAATCCTGGTAACAGCTGGGTATTGCTTTGACGCATTTTCTAGTCTTTCTATCTTGATTTCCTGAAACACCCATCTCCTTGTAATTAAAGAATCAAAATAAAGTCTAGCCTAGTGAGGAGAGACATACCAAATTTGACAGGTCCGAAAATAATGCTGCTGCTGCTGCTGCTGCTGCTGACGCTAACAGTAACAGCTAGGATTTACTGAGATTTAATAGGTACCATGCACTGTTCTCAGCACTTTACATATCCATCCTGAGAGCACAATGCTAACTGGATAGACTGTCTTGTCTGGGTTCAAAAGCCAGCTGTGCAACTTTGAGCAAGTTATTTACTTCTCTGTGCCTCAGTTTCTTCATCTGTAAAATGCAGATATTAACAGTCCTCATGGAAGGATTAAATGAAGTATGTACATTTTTTTAATACGTTTTTTCAATCAAAGTATAATCAACATACAATATCCCATTATTTTTGGATGTACATCATAGTGATTCAACATTTATATACATTATGAAATCATCACCACAGTAAGTCTAGTAACCATCTGTCACCATACAAAGTTATTAAGATATTATTTTTTGCTGAGGAAGAGTCACCCTGAGCTAACACCTGTTGCCAATCTTCCTCTTTTTGCTTAAGGAAGTTTTGCCCTGAGCTAACATCCATGCCAATCTTCCCATTTTGTGCGTGGGTCACCACCACAGCACGGCCGCCAATAAGCGGTGTAGGTCCGCACCTGGGAACTGAACCTGAGCTGCTGAAGCAGAACACACTGAACTTAATCACTAGACCATGGGGCTGGCCTCACAATATTACAGACTATATTTCCTACGCTGTACATTACATCTCTATGACTTATTTATTTTATAACTGAAAGTCTGTACCCCTTAATCCCCTTCACCTATTTTGCCTGCCCTCCCATCCCCTCCCCACTCTGGTATCCACTAGTCTGTTTCTTGTATCTATGAGTCTGTTTCTGTTTAGTTTTGTTTGTTCATTTGTTTTTTAGATTCCACATATGAGTGAGATCATATGGTATTTGTCTTTCTCTTTCTGACTCATTTCATTTAGCATTATATCTTCTAGGTCCATCCATGTTGTCCCAAATGGCAAACTTTCATTCTTTTTCATGGCTGAGTAATATTCCATTGTATATATATTCCACATCTTCTCTATCTATTCATCTATTGACGGACACTTAGGTTGCTTCCATATCTTGGCTATTGTAAATAATGCTGCAATAAACATAGGGGTGCATATATCTCTTCAAATTAGTGTTTTTGTTTTCTTTGGATAAATACCCAGAAGTGGAATTCCTGGATCATATGGCAGATCTATTTTTAATTTTCTGAGACACCTCCATACTGTTTTCCATAGTGGCTACACCAATTTACATAACCACCAATAGTGTATGAGGGTTCCATTTTTTCCATCTTCTCCAACACTGGTTATTTGTTGTCTTTTTGATAACAGCCATTCTGACAGGTGTGAGGTAGTATTTCATTGTGGTTTTGATTTGCATTTCCCTGATGATTAGTGATGATGAGCATCTTTTCATGTTGGCCATCTCCATGTCTTTTTTGGGAAAATGTCTATTCAAAAAGTGTGTACATAATTAACCCCACTTACAAATGAAGAAATGAGGCACAGAGAGATAAAATAACTTACCGAAGTCACATCCCTAGCTTGGATGTGAACTCACAAAATCATGAACTTCCTAAATCATGAACTCCCTATGGGCTACCATCACTTTTTCGAAAAGCAGCCAATGAAAAAGAGAGGCTTTGGGTATGGCAGAACAGAAAATCCATAGGAAAGGGAGCTGGTATTGGAGGAAAGATGGGACTTCCATGTGGAAATATTTCCAAAGAGTTCAGGAATGCAAGACTGAACTCCAGGGAAAAGTTCAGGCCTGAGGACAGCAATTTGGGAAAGATCTTCAGAAAGGTGATAGTTAAAGTAATGAAAATGGATCGCAAAAGGGGAAAGAGCAAGAAAAAAGGGCCCAGGAGGGGAGTCTAAAGTAGCAAGGGAAAAAAGAATCAGAGAAGAAAGAGAGGCATCAGTCAGACAGATAAGAGGAACCTGTAGACAGTTTGACATCACAGTCGCACTATGCAGAGGAATTCCTAAGAAAGAGGGAAGGTCTTTGGGCAAGTCCCAGCCCTCGTCCTCCCCAGCACCAGCCTCAGAGCCCACACCAAGCTGAACCCCTTCTTGGATGCCCACCAGTATCAGTCCTGACCTTCAGTACCAGCTCAAAATGACCCCACTTCTAGGGTCTCTTCCCTGACTCTTCCTGGAGGTTTAATCATTTCCTAAGATCAGTACCATGAACTCCTTGAAGATGGAAATAACATCTTTCCTCTTTGAATCCCCAGTGCCCTGCACAGTATCCTGTACATAGTCAGTGCTCAATAAATGTTTGCTGAGGGTATCTTTGGCCCTTCCACATCTTTGCCCCAAGTGAGACTATATCCTCTGTGAAGACAAAGACTGTCTAATACTCCATACTCCTCACCAAGCACTTACGGCAGCCAGAAGTATATGTTCAGGGTTGACAATCTTTAATCACGAAGTGAGTTTAGGGTGAATTAAGAGTGACCTGGGGACAGAGGAGGCACATTCCTTAGCAGCCCCTCGGTAAATTCTGGATCCTGCAGAAAACTTACAAGGCTCTGGATTCTCCATAGCTTTTGTGGGAAAGAAAAGTACCCAAAGGATGGAAACACATCCACCATCTCTGAACCCAGAAGGCAATTCATGAAAAAGACAAACTTCACTTACTGTCACCTCAGTGGGCAGCAAATCCATCGCCACTCTTTCCTTCTTAGTCTTCCTGTCAAGGGAGAGCAGAGTGCTGACAAGGTAGGTCTGGAGAGAAAAGAGGTGTCATGAGGAACTCTAGTGTCAAGGGATGGCTTGGAGAGAGGAAGTTATGATGACCCATAATGTCCATCAGGTCCCAACAAAGCCACCTCACATAAATGATGCAAACCAAGTACAGTCGTGCATTGCTTAACAATGGGGATATGTTTTGAGAAATGCGTCATTAGGAGATTTCATTGTTGTGTGAACATCATAGAATGCACTTACACAAGCCTAGATGGGATAGCCTACTACACACCTAGCTCCTAGGATACAAACCTGTGCAGCATGTTACTGTACTGAATACTGTGGGCAATTTTAACACAATGGTAAGTATTTGTGTATCTAAACATATCTAAGCACAGAAAAAGTACAGTGAAAATATGGTATAAAAGATAAAAAATGATACACTGTATAGGGCACTTACATGAATGGAGCCTGCAGGACTGGAAGTTGCCCTGGGTGAGTCAGTGAGTGAGTGGTGAGTGAATGTGAAGGCCTAGGACATTACTGCACACTGCTGCAGACTTTATAACACTGGACATTTAGACTACGTGGAATTTATAAAAATATTTTTCTTTCTTCAATAATTAATTAACCTTAGCTTACTGTAATCTTTTTACGTTACAAACTTTTTAATTTTTTTTAACTTTTTGACTGTTTTGTAATAACACAGCTTAAAACACAAATACATTGTACAGCTGTACAAAGCACTTTCTTTATATCCTTATTCTATAAGCTTTTTCTATTTTTAAAGTTTTTTTTTTACTTTTTAAACTTGGTCGTTGAAAACTCAGACACAAACACACAGTAACCTAGGCCTACACAGGTCAGGATCATCAATATCACTGTCTTCCTCCTCCACATCTTGTCCCACTGTAAGGTCTTCAGGGGCAATAACATGCATGGAGCTGTCATCTCCCATGATAACAATGCCCTTTTCTGGAATACCTCCTGAAGGACCTGAAGGTTTGTTTACATCTGCATCACCACAAACACATCAGTAATGCATTCACTATGATGTTACCATGGCCACTACATCACTAGGCAATAGTAGTTTTCCAGCACCACTATAATCTTATGGGACCACCCTCATATATGCAGTCTGTCATTGACTGAAACACCAATATGCCGCGCATGACTGTAAAAAGTGTGCTTACCAAGCCAATGAAGCTCTAAGACATTTTCCCAGTCCCCATCTCCTCCTTGTATTAAGCATACTTCCAATTTCTATAGACTGATGCTTTAACATCCACCTAAGGTCTATTAGCTATCTCTATGAAAACTGTGACTCACCCAGAGATATCCAGAGTCCTTACATAGCTTTAAACTATACACTCTTAACAGTCACAGTGAACATGAATTTCCTGGACTGCCCACTTTTAAACACAGCTAGCCAATCCTAAGCCTGCTTGCCCTGCCTCACCCTTTCCTTCGTGAAGAAACCACAATAAAGGTGCTTGCCCACAACATTTGTCCTCTCTGCCTCATGACCGACCCATGTGCTTCCCCTGAGTGGCCTCGCGTGGAGCGTTGTGTGCTCCCCAGCTAACTGCGAGTAAAACACAATCCGTGAACCTTCCCTGTCTCTGTCTCTGGCGATCTGCATCTGGCCTTACCACAGCTCACCCAGGGTAATATGGTTAAAATACCCCCTCTCACACAAGATGCACGCCAGACTGCTCTCTGCTGCCCCTCCTAAACACAAATTCCACAGGTGCCACCTCTTACAGTATCCATGATTTGAAACAGACCCCCACTCCTCGTACACGAACCCCAACTGAGAGAGCAGGTAAGACAAGTGTCGGCCACAGCCGCCTGCTCTAGCTGCCTGAGCTGGCAGTGGGCTCTTCGGGGTGCGGCACCCGGCGTGAGGGCCCATCGGGCCCAGTACGGGGTGTAACCTCGGGCTGGCGCCCTCAGCAGGCGAGGGAAGCTGCTGCAGAAGTCAGCACTTTTTTGTGTGTGTGTGTGAGGAGATCAGCCCTGTGCCAACATCCGCCAATCCTCTTTTTTTTTTTTTTTTTTGGCTGAGGAAGACGGCCCTGGGCCAACATCCGTGCCCATCCTCCTCCACTCCATATGGGACGCCGCCACAGCATGGCCCCGCCAAGCAGTGCGTAGGTGCGCGCCCGGGATCCGAACCAGCGAACCCAGAACCCCGGGCCGCCGCAGCGGAGCGCGCGCACTTAACCGCTTGCGCCACCGGGCCGGCCCCAGAAGTCAGCACTTCTGATGACACAGTCAGAAGATACTCTACGAGGCACTTGCTCCACGCCGGGAATCTTGAGGGCTTTTCATCTACCATTTTTAATCCTCACAACACTCCAAACAGGGAGTACTGCGACCACACTCTACGATTGAGGGAGACAGAACCAGGGAGTCGGAGCGACCTGCCCAAAGAAACAAAAAGGTAAGCAGTAGAGGCAGGAAGGGAATCCTGGTCCGAGTTCAAGGCCCCAGTTAAATGTGGCAAATTTCCTGGCCACCCTGTGCCTCAGTTTCCTCATCTGCACAATGAGGGCGGCGTACCGCCACCCTCCCCGTTATTGGCGGATTGAGTCACTCCACCCCAGGCGCTAGGCCAGAGCCTGGCGCACGGACGTTCCCTACAGGCAGCAGCCATTGTTTTCGTCGTCGGCTTCGCTTAGAAGTCTCAGAAAAGACCCCGCCAAAGACCCCCCCCACCACCACCGCAGTCCCGGGCCCGCCCAGCTCACCTGGCACGGGCGCTCCGTCCCCGCAAGGCTCCGGGCGCCAGCGACGCGCGCGGGGCACCGCCGTCCAGACGGCGCGGACAGGCCTCCTGACCCGGGCCGCGGCGTCTCCCTGGTGCCCGCGCGGCTTCGCCCGGCTCCGCACCTCCCCACCCAGATGGAGACAGGCGCTGGCCCCGACCGCCGTCCGCAAGATGCAACCAGCAGCTTCTCAGCCCCAGGCAAGCCGCCGTAGCCGAGCCAAGATCACCCTCACCCCGAGCCCCAGAAATGCGGCGGCGGCAGCGGCGAGTCTACCCCGCAACCCCAGGCGAACTACGACTCCCGGCATGCCCCGGGCTCCGCGCCGACTACACTTCCCAGAGGGCGCCGCGGCGGAGCGACGTTTGGCCAGTGAGTATTTTCTCCCAGCGCGGGAGAAAATACTCTTGCCATGCTGTCCACGTGGTGCAGGCAATGCGAGCGGGGGCGTGTGACGAATAAGGCAGTGGGAGCCTCCCTGCCTAAATCAGCTGGGAGACTTGTTTTGTTAGGCGGGCAAAATGATTTGAAAAAAAACCTGAGTTTACACGCCTGTAGGAAGATCAGTGCGCCATAGCTCTCACCAGCTAGTTATGATTATTTTTAATTTTTTTAATGTGTCCCATAACCAGAAGATAATGTATGCATAGGCACAGATTAAGAATAAAACTAATACCCACATACCCAATACTCTGCTTACAGAAGACAACTTGACCAGAATTTTTGAAGCCTTGTGCACAATGCTCTCCAGTCATTTTTCGAAATTGTTAAGCATTCCCTTGCTTAGCTTGATGGGTACTCCATATATATGTGTCCCAAAACAATGTGCGTACTTTTGCAAGGTTTTTGATCTTTATATAAATGGAATGTGCTCTATGTTCATTTGAGACTTATATGCTCAACGTGAACACTTTGTAAAAAAAACAATTCAACTGAGTAAATTTTAAAGATCTTATTGGCTTTATTCAGTGATTGATGAATTGGGCAGCATCCAATCTAACACACAGAAGGGAACTCCGAGGAGCTGTACTAAATGAAAGACTTTATGAAAGGCAGAAAGGGGTAGAAACAAGGAAGTTATACTAGGCAAAAAGCGGATTGGTTATTGCAAGGTTACTCTCCCTATAGAAGATGGCAGGGGTTTATCAGACAGATTCCCTAACTAAAGCTGATCGGGTGATTCCTGATTGGCTGGTTTAAAATTCCATTCCTGCCAGAGCCAAAACTATAATGAAGTCTTGGTTTGGTGACATAGGGCTTTGCATGAGCAAATCCATTTTGAGCCTGTTGTGTTGTGTGTAACAACTTTTAGATTTGTCTATCTTGATACCTGCAAAGATCATTCATTTTCACTGCTGTATAAGGTTCCATTGTTCATTTGTTCAACAACAACAACAACAAAATTCAATACCTATTTTGTGCCTGACGTTGTTCTAGATGCTAGAAATACACCAGTGAACAAAACTGGCAAAACCTCTGCATTCATGCATCTTAAATTCTCGTGGGGAATGGAGAAGAAAGATAATAAAAAAGAAAAATAAATGGTATGTTTTTAGATAGTGATGAGCACTGACAAGAACAAGAAAGGGGAACAGCAACCCTGGTGGAAGTGGAGGGGACTGTTGCAATTTTACACAAAGTGGTTAAGAAACGTTTGACAGAGAAGGTGACGTTTGAAAAAAAACCTGCAAAGGTGAGGAATGAGCTAAGTTAAATATCTGCAGGAAGACTTTCTGGCCAACTGAAAAGCAGATGCCCTGAGTTGGGAGCATGCCTGGCCTGTTCAAGGAATAATAAGAATACTGTTGCTGAAGCAGAAAGAGAAAGGGAGAGAGAAGTAGCTCAGAGGCAAGAGGACTGGAATGTGTAGGCTCTTAGTGGTTATGATGTCACTGGATTTTACTCTGAAACAGAATGCTCTGAGCAGTGGAGAGACATACTCTGATGTCCATTTTTAAGTAATCACTCTGACTGCTGTGCTGAGAATAAACTAAAGGGTCAAAGAAAGAAGCAGAAAGACTAGGATTTGTCAGAAGGCTACTGTAGTAGTCTCTGTGAGAGAAGACAGCCATTTGGACTGAGTAGAAATTATGAGAAGTGGTTGGAAAAGTTCAAAATTCAAAATATGGAAAAGATGAAGATGTTAACAACATTTGGAATATAATGTTTTTCTTTTTTGTTTTTTTTAAGGTTTCTGGGTTTTGTTGTTTGTTTGTTTTGAGGCAGATTGGCCCCGTGCTAACAACTGTTGCCGATCTTCCTCTTTTTCTTTTTTCTCACCAAAGCCCCAGTACATAGTTATGTATCATAGCTGCGGAGGTGTAGCTCTTCTATATGGGACGCCACCTCAGCATGGCTTGATGAGCGGTGAGTAGGTCCACGCCCAGGATCCGAACCACTGAACCTGGGGCCGCCAAAGCGGAATGCGTGAACTTAACCATGACGCCACCGGGCTGGCCCCTAGAATATAATGTTTTTCAGCTATGAAGTATATCTTTTCTTTTCAAATAGCCCTGGTAATTATATTACATTAAAAGTATTCTTTATGCTCTATTTTTCTGATAATGAAAATTAAGAATTAGCTTCTGGGGGCCGGCCCCATGGCTTAGCGGTTAAGTGCACGTGCTCCACTACTGGCGGCCTGGGTTTGGATCCTGGGCACGCACCGACGCACCGCTTGTCGGGCCATGCTCAGGTGGCGTCCCATATACAGCTGCTAAGGATGTGCAACTATGACATACAACTATCTACTGGGGCTTTGGGGAGAAAAAGGAAAAAAAAAGGAGGAGGATTGGCAATAGATGTTAGCTCAGGGCCAGTCTTCCTCAGCAAAAAGAGGAGGATTGGCATGGATGTTAGCTCAGGGCTGATCTTCCTCACACACACACACAAAAAAGAATTAGCTTCTCTTCTGACTTTCTTCTACATTTAACCAAAAGCAAATTTATTTTACTTTCTGTTCCATTTAGGATTTTAACATGTGCTAATAGACCAGGACCATTAGAACCCACTTTTAATACTTCCATCTTCCATTTTCTCTCTCAACTATGAATTTTGGCAATTTCCCTGAGTTTTATATTTACTTATGTTTAAATCATAAGTTTAAACTTATAAGTTTAAACTTTTTTTTATAAATTTTATAAATTTTAAACTTATAAGTTTAAAATTATAAGTTTAAATTGTTTCTTTATTGGCCACGTCTATACCACTGCTTCTCTAATTTTGTTTTTCTTTTGGTCTTGATATTTCTGTTCCTTTTTCTTACTGGCATAGCCTAGTTTTTATCAGTGCACTTTGTTATTCCAACAGGCCTCTTGTACTTAGTTTTCTGCAGAAATCTGAGGTCAGTATGATTTTTCTTCTCTTGTAGGTAACCTTTTGTTGTTGCTGTTTATTTCTCTACACTGACGCATAATTTTTTTCTTGTTTCCTGTATCTGTAAGTATTTCTTTTTTTTCCCTCCTATATCTAACAATCAATTTTTGCATTATTTTTGTCTGGGACACAAAAAAAGGATAAGACTCTGTCCTGTTTTTTCTGCTTTCTTCATTAGCAACATATTAAACTGTTATTCTTAGTGTCTGGCTTTCATATCTCTGATAGTCTTACATTTTAATTCTTTGTTCTTTCCTCTATTTTCTGAGAGGACTCTTCAAATTTATCTTCCAAGCTTACAGCTTCCAATTTCTAAAATGATTTTTTTGTGACTTTCTCTTTCTAATATAGTTTATTCTTTAAAAAAACAAAATGACCATCTGATACCAAACCTCTTAATCTCAAGTTTGTGTGCCCCATGCACAGCAAGCCAAACACTGAGACATCAGTGCTTGGAGAAGGAGAAAGATTTATTCGAATTGGCCAGAACGAGTAGATGGGAGCCGGTGTTCGCTCAAATCTGCCTCCTCAAGAACAGAAAGCAGGGGAGTTGTATAGATCTAAGGGGCTTGGCAGGAGGAGCTTCAGAGAAACAAAGAGGTCACTCCCGATAAGCCCCTGGGCAATCTGCAGTGGCTGCTGGGGGCCAGCCATTTGGTGATCACAGCCTTCCCAAGGCATTCTCTTTATTCTGCAAAACAAGCTCACAAATCCTCAAGACCCGAGTCACCTCTCAAGTTAAAAAAGAAAACAGCAAATTGACAAGATTCATCTATGTCTGTGTTGGGAACAAGGTAAAAGGCAATCATGTTCTTATTAAATATCTACAGTAACCTTCAAGTACCCAGCTTCACATCTACTTTATTTGAAAAGATGTCTACACTGCATACAGCATCAATGTGTAGTAAGAAACCCGCTCTCCTGACGCAGCAGGCCCCTTGGGTCCAGTGTGGTGTAACTAGAGATGGGCTATTTTTCCTTCCCTCCCTCCCTCCCTTCATTTCTTTCCTCCCTCCCTTCCCTCTCTTTACAGTGAGGAAATAAAAAGAAAAATTGTAGGAAAGGAGAAATGGGAATTGTTCCTAACTACCGTTCAGGATTTGAAAGGCTAAACAAAGTATATGCAGTGTTTAAAATCAGATTACTGTTCCTCTTCAATCTGATTCTCTTAATCAGCAGACGATCTTAATGGCATCCATCCCTGTGTAAATGTAGAATCGAGGCAGATGGACCAGCTGGATTTGAGGAGCACAAGATGTGCTGTTTCAAATGCCATCCAGATCCTCCTGAGAACCTGACTGTTGTGATAGAAACATGCCATGAGCTATTTACATCTTCCTGTCCTGTATAAACTCTTGTAGAAGCTTAAATGATATTAGAATTGTACAAACACAATCAAGAGTGATTGCAGGGGCTGGCCTGGCAGCGTAGCAGTTAAGTTCGCATGGTCTACTTCAGTGGCCTGGGGTTCACTGGTTTGGATCCTGGGCGCAGACCTACTCACTGCTCATCAAGCCATGCTGAGGTGGTGTCCCACATAGAACAAGAAGGACCTACAACTAGGATATACAACTATGTACTGGGGCTTTGGGGAGATAAAAGAAAAAGGGGAAGATTAGCAACAGATGTTAGCTCAGGGCCAATCTTCCTCAAAAAAAAAAAAAAAGCAATTGTAAACATTTTTAGGAAAAAGAACCCAAATGACCTAGATAAAGAGATGTGTGGACAGGATGGTGCTGAAATAAAGGTGCCCAAGGGTAATTCTCTCTGGTGTTTCCATCACAACCCTGTAAATTTATGGGGTGAGTCATGAAAACCTACAAACAATTTTTTGACTGTGTTTAAATCTAT